TTTATTTTCAAATAAGCAGACGCTGTGGAGACCTACATTGGTGAGTCAATGAATTTTATTTTACATTTCTTCTTGTCATTTTATTTCGTTAGTATTAAATTCATGGTAACGAAATAAAATGACAAACGTGTATCAAATAAATCTGCTCACCTGCAATTTATAATGGCGCATTGTAGTCACCTTGGTGCACGAAAGTTCGTCCAATCTCAGCTGCTCAACATTTTCAGTTATTTGCTGTTGTATCGCCGATTTTCAAAATGCAAATGATCTGTTTATATTCAAAGAATAGTTTGTTTTATTGTTTGGTTGGTGTCTTATATGAAACTGCGACATTGCGCAATTTATTGGACAGACTTGTTTAAGATCACACAGCGTAATTTGGGTGGCATTTTATTTCGTATTTTTAAATCATCTTTTTATTTTTGACTATCTGTAAATTTAGTTTCCTGCTCTTAATTGTGAATGCATACTTGATGGTTTTAAATGCTCCTGAAATTAAGTGCTGCTTGATGAGCCTATACAGTATTGTGTTCATGTATGTGACATCACTGAAGGCCTAAGGTTGAAATGCACGGCCCGCCACTGATATATATATATAAATCAAAATTTAAATACCGGTAAAATGTTACATAAGTTAATTTCTATATTTCTATAAGTTGGCAACTCTGTGAATGTAATGCGGTTGGGGAAACCTATGCAACCAGTACAAAGAAGTTATTCTCGACCCCTATTTTCTTAAAATAATAATTAATAATCATAACAATAATTTAAACTTATACTAATTATTTTAGAAAAAAAATGATGATTTTCTTGTGCTGTGTGGAAAGGCCGTCTTAAATGACCATTAGCTTACACACACTCAGCTTGCTTCACAAAGCTGAGTGTGTGTTAAGTGCCCAGTATGCTTCCCTTCTTCCTCCAGAATAGATCTTTTCGGAATTATGCAGTCTTGTTTGAAAGCATCTCATCAGATTGCTCTAATGTCTTACAGTGTGCCTCAAGATGGGTGTTTGTGCATGGTATTTTGGCATTGGGATGATTTGCGGTAATGTAGCTGGTGTGTGCACAGGTACGAGACATTGTGGTCTGCAGGGAGCAGGAGGAGGCCGACATTCTTCTTCACTTCTCACCGTGGACCACCACTGGCACTGCCAAAGCATGCAATCTCCGAGAGGAAATGGTTTGGATCTGGTTTAGTGTATGGCATCCCACAACTCAACTCAACTCAACTCAACTGTATTTATAGAGCACTTTCAAACAGCCATCGCTGCATACAAAGTGCTGTACATGGAGCAATTTAACATATGCAACAAACAGGAAAACAAATCGGTCATAAAGACGGTAGAAAGCACCGAACAAAAAAACCAAGAACAAATCTAAGTCATGCTGAGTCAAACGACCTAGTAGAGGCCCTACAATCTCACATGTGGTGACCTGACTCGTTTAGATTCATTTAATTTACCTCACAGGGTAAAGAAAGTGTGATTTTAATGCAAAGTAGTGAAAATAGTTTAAAAACATACTTATTGGGGCTCTTGATTGCTTCTCCTGTTCGACAAGTATTGCAAAATTTCCTCATTCTGCGGAAGCTGTTTGGTGTATTTGTCACCGGTACTGAAAATCTGGATGTGTCTTCGGCAATAACGAGTCTCCATTCACATTAAGAATGGCCGAATGCACGAGGTTAGTCGGCTATTTGTTTTATGTATTGGATTACTCATGGTTAATTAAGACAGTTTAGGAAAATGACATGACTCAGATGCTTGCTCTCATTTCATACTGAAAGCCTTATTTATGGTGGAGGACTGGCACGACTGTGAACTTTGATGTATATGGCTGCCACTTGCTCCATGTTCTTACCATATTACTGGTAATCAATGACAGGATAACAAATCTGCAATTTTTTGGGGGGTATATTTAACCAGTATTCCCTGACACGTTTGTGCCAAAAGGCAAAGGGAATCTCCCCATGGACTTACAAGCCAGGTGGGCGAGGAATCATATACTTAGTTTCCTTGCCTCTATATATATTAGGACTACAGCTAAGGAATATTTTGGTATTCGGATAACCGACTGAAAATTCTATAGAATGATCGGGTGTTCTGATCTTTCTTTCTCTCTCTCTCTCTCTCTCTCTCTCTCTCTCTCTCTCTCTCTCTCTCTCTCTCTCTCTCTCTCTCTCGCTCTCTCTCTCTCTATTTGAGCCGGCGGTCACCAAACTTTTTAGCGGCAATTTTCATGTGAAGACATATTTTGCGGGACCGGCATTGTAGGAGCAAATAAAAAACAATGATGGAAAAAATATCACCAATTCCTATATTAGCTTCAGCAAGCCAAGTCGTACGCCGTATGCCGAGAGAGAGAGAGAGAGAGAGAGAGAGAGAGAGAGAGAGAGAGAGAGAGAGAGATAGCTATATCGATATAAAGAGAGAGAGAGAGCAGCGCGTATTTTTCTTCATACAGATTGCTGAGGCCAAAACATGACAGATGTGGCCACTTTACTTTGCCCAGGTCTGACCTCATCAATAACAAAAAATGAAAACAAACACGTGTGTGTGTGTGTGTGTGTGTGTGTGTGTGTGTGTGTGTGTGTGTGTGTGTGTGTGTGTGTGTGTGTGTGTGTTGGGTGGGGGGGAATAATTAAAGGCTAAAAGCTCTTTATCTCAGCAGAATGGGGAAACGCTCTTGTTTGGGCTCTCCAACGGGCGGGCCTGTGGGTGGGTGGGTGTGGGTGTCGCTTAGGAGCGCGTGGCTGCCGAGGAACAGCGGTGGTTGCAGGAGAAGGAAAACGACTTCCTGGCTCCATCCCTCAGCCAACTGTGTGACATTGAAATTGTGAATGCTGATGATGCACAGCGGATATACAACGAGAGCCTGACAGATTTCAAGAATTGCATCATGGCACAGGCACAACTTATCCAAGAACGTCACGACCAGGTACCTGACAATACAAAGAACACCTCATAGTGTGACGCATGTTAAAATATTTCTTAAATGAGACAAACTGTATACTTTTCTTCTCAATTTAGGAATTCCCAGAGTGTTTTAACAAATGCTCCCTGAAATTGCTGTGTCAAAATCCACAAAGGATAAATACTTGGAGAGTACACCCACTTCTCGCACACTGCCAGAAACCACTTGTTTTTGGGAGAAGCTTTCTGTCTCATGCAAATGTGACATATGGATTTCGTTACCTTGATCATCGGGGGCCTAGTTAGATCATTGTAAGGAAGTAAGGATTACTCTGGGTGGATCTCAATCTATTAATTGCGATGGACCTACACTGAAAAATGTTTTTGTTGAATTTGCTCAATTTTATTTTGTCAAATGGTTGCGCAAAATAAAATCATCTGGATCCCGATTGGTTTTATAAGTCGACTATAGATCCACTTAACAAAATGTATCTGGATCCAGAAGACTTTATGTGCAAACACTTGATGAAATAAAATTTAACACACTTTGATGTTTCAACCAGCAAAGTGTTCTCATGCCACCATATCAAGGAGTGCTGTTGTCACGTTACAAAACTTTGGACTTTGATACTCTACCCGCATATACAATAGTACCTCGATACTGAAATGATACTATGGCAAAACTGAAATATAAGTAAAACGTAGTCGAATAATAGCCGCCAGCGAAACAACTTCAAATTACTAATGTATTTATTCAGGACATTATTAGGACAGTGATAATATGTTAGTATGTTATGATAGTGATAAAATGAATAAAGTATGAACATATTTAAATCCTACTTAAAGGTAAAGTGTGAAATGGTTTTAGAAAATCCCAAATTAAATATTTTTTAATGTCACAAATAATGAAACACAATACATCAAACAAAGAAAAAAAAAAGTATTTTGCATATTCAACAAAATAATCGTTTTCCCGACATGAGATCCAGGCGAGCGACAAACCTGGAAGTGGGACGTCACTTACAGGACAACAAAAGCAGGGCTCAATATGGAAAGTGTACAAAGCCAGACATCAGTCCATTTAGAAAGCGATGTTTCAAACTGAAGGTATCCAGGTGTTTGAAAATTTGGAGGAATAGGAGGTTGTTGGCAAGATGTATGTTGGACCTTACATATATGAGCCAAATACTCAGGATGTTGTGCCCGAACGGCCGGACATGGAGTGGAAACAAAACCCATCTGGATTGGAAGAATCGGTCAGCTATATAGGTTGCAGTTATTAGCCTAGTGTTGTTGTTTGCAATTTGATACTGTGCCACACTGTAAATTCCGCACGATGGGATTACGAATTTGGTTGCAAGGGTAGTTCTGTTGCATTGTCGGCGACTCTGCACATTATATCGGCAGCATTGTTAGTTGCAAACCATGACCGGGGATTCCATCCATGCACTCATATATTTTGAATATTTTCGTACAGGAATCCATCCATGTACACGTGAAGTACTTTGAGTCAAATGTTTTTGGAAGCAACAGCCAGAGTTGTTCATTGATTATCACACCTGCTTTTTTGCAAATCCTTTATCGTAAAAAAAATGTTTGAGAAGTGCTTGTAAAAAAGAACGCTCTTCAACACCAGCATGAAATTCATTCGCTTTGCGGTAACCAAACTGTATCGTTCCAATTTTCTCGTCCATTTACCATCCATCCATCCATTTTCGGATCCGCTTTATCCTCACAAGGGTCGCGGGGCGTGCTGGAACTTTTCCCAGCTGGAACATCCTGAACTGGTTACCAGCCAATCATAGGGCATGTAGAGCCAAACAACCATCCACGCACACACTGACACCTGGGACAATGTAGCGTGTTCAATCAATCTCCCATGCATGTTTTTGGAATGTGGGAGGAAAACGGAGTACCCGGAGAAAACCCACACAGGCACGGGGAGAACATGCAAACTCCACATAGAAAGGCTGGAGCCGGAATCGAACCTTACACCTCTGTACTGTGAGGCTGACATGCTAACCAGTCGACCACCGGGCCGCCTCGTCCATTTACGTGCCCTATTATTTTCCTTTGGCCACTCAGACAACTGTTTGCCTTAATGTGAACAGTGCATCACCATGCGCTGACACATTTCGCCAAATAACTTGATACCAATGGGCAAAGAGCAGTTAACGGGTCAATCAGCAATGCATTGCAATGGCTGACTAGGGTCTCGGTATTCTGGAAAAGACATCACTTGCTGGAGTTTGCCAAACAAAAGCATTTTCGTTCTTAAGCACGTTGCTATGGGTCTACCCATGCACCCGGGTGGGTTGTGTTAAAAAAATGAAAGGATGCTTCACATTGTTTTAGCCGTTGCCATAACTATCTTTTGAGATAGTTGGCCAAGTTGACTTCACAATTGACCTTAAAGATTTTATGTATATCCTATACCAGGGGTCGGCAACACGCGGCTCCAGAGCCGCATGCGGCTCTTTAGTGCCATCTAGTGGCTCCCTGGAGCGTTATAAAAAATATTTGAAAAAAAAATGTGGGAGGGTTATATCTTCGGTCAAAAAAGGTTTGGCACCCGTGCTCTACAGAATGCACTGCACGAAAAAAACATTTAATCATCAAGGCTCATCGTGTAATTGTAGCAAACGTAGTCATTTTGATAGTAGGCTAATATAGCTCATATGGATACATGTTGCAGCTCCGGAAAAAGGAGAGCTGTGGTGTTGGTTTTTTAAAACGTACGCTTTATTTATGCTTTTAACAGTCTCGACAAACACAGACACGTCTATGTCCGACTACGTGCCTTCTCTCCTCTTGTTCGACTCGAGAGGCGTTCAAAGACAGCCTCCGAAAAACGGAAATTTATGATCACTTCACTGACACTAAGAAAAGCGAAAATAATGCACCAAAACAGAAAATCAAGCGAGGAAATCACAAAATAAATTCTATGGGGGCGTTTGTGAACACACAACAAAGGAATGAATAACAAACAATTCTGAGACAGTCCAGTCTCCTACATACATACAGCATGTGTTTCCTTCATTGTAAGTTTTATAGAAGGCTTTTATTTTTTTGCGGCTCCAGACATATTTGTTTTTTTGTTTTTTTTGTCCTATATGGCTCTTTCAACATTTTGGGTTGCCGACCCCTGTCCTATACTGTACAAAAGTCTTGGGCCACCAAAACATTTAAAAAAATCGACTAGCAACAAATTAACCCTCCTTTGTGGTGCTATTAGAAACTGTGAAACTCCCTCCAGATCAGGAAACGTTCATTCTTCTGTCCAACCCAAAGTGAGTAGCATATTTAATCGTATACAGTGATTCCTCGCTCTAACGTGGTTCACCTTCCGCGGCTTCGCTATTTCACTGATTTTTTTAGTGCAGTTTTTTTAATGCTTTCAAACATTGAATTGTGTTCTGCATCCTGATTGGCAAGGCACTGACCAACGTGAACAGTCTCCGCACCTCGTCTTTGTACATACATACCCCACAATGTCGACGAAACGTTCTGCACCGGCAAAGGCAACTGAGGACGCGCTCAAGCAATATTATTTTACAGTACAGTATAGGGGTGTTCACACGGCACACATTTGCATCGGTGCTGCACTGACCTATTTTGTTGCGATATATCTTACACTGGTGTAAATTTTGCGGAGCATTCACACGTAAAAAGCTGCTGACTAAAGAGAAGCGTGTTATGTGACGATTATCAGAAGCTAATGCTAGTATTACGACAGCATGTCTGCTCATGCTAATCCGTACAAACACTGCATTTCTGCTCTACTTTTTGCTTTAACGTAATAGTGTTCAACACAGTGGAGTCCGACCATGTCTTGAAAATAGAGGCTCTTAGTGGGCAACTATTCCAGGCAACTGAACACAAATAATTCAAATCAATCATGAGCGGGAATCATCTGTAGCTAATTCTGCATTTAATGAGGATATGCTCTTGCCTCGCCAGCAAAGAGCAGTGACAATGCTCTGGTGATGCACAGATCGCAGTTTTCCGCACAGAAATGTCTCCGTGCGAGATGTGAGTGTGCCACATTTGAATGGAATGAAAGAAGCCGTTTTCATTGAATGGAGTCTGCTGCACCCACAATGGCGCAAATCGCCTTTTTTGCTGCGCCACCTGCGAAATTACCAACATCGGAGTAACCTGCCTCCATGCAGATATAGAACACACGTTCAATTCTGAAATTAAGGCCCTAAATAAGTCTAATCCTAAACTATGACTATTCACATCAAAATAAGAACTCTCATATTTTGTTTACCTTATAGTTCAGTGACATGAGAGGTCACAATGTTAAGAAGCCAATGGCATTTTGTTCATAACTCCTATTGCATCAAATGTCATAGTACTTATGCGTGTGTGCGTGTGTGCAGGCGACACAGGTACTACAGAATAAACAAGAACATTACCAGGAGAACCAGCAGAACATGAGTCACCAAGAGTTGAAGGAGTATCAGGCCTACTGCGCCCAGCACATTTTTCAGATACACATCGCCCAGAAGCGCCTCAGCATGTATGTCATGCGCTCGCGCGCACACACACACACACACACGCACACACACACACACACACACACACACACACACACACACGAATATTTGACACAATGTGTGTTTGCAGGCACAAGAGATCAGCAGCTCAAAGGTACCGTGCACTGGACCAAAGACTCAAACAAGATCCCAGGCTGGCCCCTTACCTACTCAACTGAATGCACACACACACACACACACACACACACACACACACACACACACACACACACGCACACACACACACGCACACACAGAATGTGTCATTTAATGTTATTGAGTGATTAAAGCAAGAAAAATGTATGGGTTTCGAAGTTCATGAGTCTAAAGACAGTAACCTGATTCCAGCCTCCGAAGCTCATCTTACTAGTTTGCAGCATGAAAGTTTTTTGATGTGTCTGTCATGGCCACACTCAGAAAAACTTTCAAGGAGCCCTGTTTGAAAAGACATGAGAATTCTGACATTTCATTTTTAGCGGCCACTTTAGGGTCAGAAATTTGTAGGTGCAATAATTCCGCAGCTGGCACGCTGAGTTCCTTTCCTTTCCACTTCAATCAAACACCAGAGCCCATTAATCACTGCTTACAACTTTAACCTTTTCATTGGTAAGATCTGAAAAATCCTGATCGACAAAAACAATTGTTTGGCAAGTTATTTGTGTTTTGACTTAGTGCCAAGTTGGCACTGTGGCATTATCTCGATACACACGCACTTGTACTATTGCTTCCCAGGAATGCGTTCACCTTGAGACCAGTTTTTGAATGATACTCCAAAACAATGTTGTCATGGTTACAAACCAAAACAACTGCATCTGTCTGTTTTCAGTTAAACACTCCTCTTGCCTAAATTGTCCTGGATCCATTTACTAGATGGAGATTTTTCAACACTCTTTCACAGGTTTTTTTGTGGAGTGTTATCAAATAAATAAATAAATGAGAGAGTATGACCTCATACATCGCACTTGGTGGTGGTCATCTCATTAAGAGGGAGTCATTTGTCTCAAAATTATTCACACGAATGCCTCTGCGATGTTCACGTTTTTCAGCTCTATATAAATATATATGGTGGTGGTGGGCGGGGGTGG